TATTTTTTTTGTTTCTGTCGCTAGGTGCGCTTGTTATGGACATGCATCAAGATGCTCTAATGACTTGCAATCAATTTGTGAATGCGTCCATAACACACAAGGGGATAGAGTAAGTAGTACAGTACACTTGAAAGTACATACAGTACATCTCAAGTAGTATCATAGTGAGTCTATGACTATCATTACTCTTTCTCTCCAATGCGCAGTGCAACGAGTGTCTGCCTTTATATAACAACAAGCCGTGGAGAAGAGGCATATCGACTCAAGCAAATCCTTGCATAATATGCAACTGTAACAATCATGCCGATTCCTGTGTTTATAATGCAACGCTTGATCCGTTCCCTGATAGCTTTGACTCAGGAGGTGGAGGTGTCTGTACCAACTGTCAAGATAATACAGGTATTAGTTACATCATTACATTATCCACTCCTTATATTTAATGGAACTTACTTTCCAGAGGGCAGATATTGTGAGTCTTGCTCTGACGGTTACTATAGACCGGCAGGAGTCTCACCGTCCAATAGCAGTCCTTGTACACCTTGTAACTGTGACTCCACTGGTTCCACTGGACCTGTCTGTATAAAGGTATGGAATAGTGCTATGAGGGTCAAATAATCCTGTAAAAAAGTACCAAATACAATTTGGCTATTCATTGATTGTGTTCTCAACAGGATTTTAATGGCATTCACATACTCTCTGTGGGTCAGATATGCCGTAGATATTATTTATTCATTATTAAGTAGTGGGAATGATAGTTCATTCATAGGCCCCTCTGTGTACCTTCATTGACAAATAATACATTTATTTATTGTATTAATAATAGGCTGAGGGGATACCTGGTGAAGTGGTTGGGCAGTGTCCTTGCAGAGATAACGTGAGAGGGAGGGCTTGTGATGAGTGTGCCGATGGCTTCTTTAATTTAACTGCTGGCTGCCAGTCATGCCATTGCAATACTGATGGTAAGCAATTAGCACACACTAATTATAACTAATATTGAATTTGAGAAGCATGACGATTGCTATTACATTAATCAGTTGGAATAATGTGATTTCATTGTTTGTCACGAAATCCGTGAAAAGCAAAAAAACCCATTTGTTCCATTGTCACGAAATCCGTGACAAACAAAAACCCATTTGTTCCATTGTCACGAAATCCGTGACAAGCAAAAAACCCATTTGTTCCATTGTCACGAAATCCGTGACAAACAAAAACCCATTTGTTCCATTGTCACGAAATCCATGACAAACAAAAACCCATTTGTTCCATTGTCACAAAATCCGTGACAAGTAAAAAACCCATTTGTTCTATTGTCACGAAATCCGTGACAAGCAAAACCCATTGGTACTTTGGCCCAGCTCCAACTTTCTACACAACATATTATCATAAATTCAATTTATATTTCTTTTAAAGGAACAATTGGTGGTTCTGTTTCGTGCAATGAGAACACTGGGAAGTGCTCATGTAAGCTGAACGTTGAGGGACTCAGGTGTGATCAGTGCGTTAA